ATGCGGTGATCACTTAAGAAAGCAGTCGGCAAAAATAAAATAATTTCAAATAAATGTTTACAAATTCGTTTCGAGCGCTTAACAAACTGCAGTCAAAGTTTTATTTTTGCGTTGCGCAAATTGCTGTTGTTGTTGTTGTATGCGCTTAATTTCTGCAAAAAACATAACTCAGCCGCAGCAACTGCAGTTTCACCTCGATTCTCATTGAACGATCCGACCAGCCATTTTTCGATGAGCTCTTTGGAAAGCATTTATTTAACTTTGCGCTAAGTACATGCCAATTAATTGCTTTCAACATTTCGGCATTTAATTATTTGCTCTTTAACATTTCTCCATTGAACGTTGCATAACGCTTGGCGGTCAGCACTGGTTGGCCATATAGACGCCGGGCTGTTTGGGCGCTTGGTTGCCTCGCTTAAGTGTTTTTTGCTTTTTCCCGCTCAAGTTTGAACTCCAACTCCTGCTCACCCACACATATACTCATAAATTAATGTATGAGCATAAGTGCTGTGAGCAACGCCATTGCTCTTCGCCGTGCTGCCAAATTCATGGAACTTTTGCAATAATTCTTTATTAATTTTCGATTTATTTCAATCAGTGCGCAATTAAATTCGACTCTGCCATGAAGTGCGCTCTTAATATAAGTGAGAGCAGCAGCTCTAGTAACAGCACTATAAGTTTGTATACAATACATATTTATATGTAAGCATATATTTGTATATATAATATATTACAGTAAACATATATGATTACCATATACTTACAGCTCGCAATGCCCACACGATTATTTAAATCAAATACGAGTATGTTGGTGAGAGCACGTGAGCTATTACGCTGCGCATGCTAAATGTACATTACATAAAGACTGAGTATAATATTTGCTTTTATTGTTGCCTTTGACTGTTATAAAATGCACAAAGCGAAAGAAATTAAACACAATACTCGGAAATGAAACAATTCAACAGTTTTAAAGGCATTCTCGTGAAATTTTCGAAATAAGTTTATGTTTTGATAACTGTCCGAATTGAACGGTAAGAATAACTTTTGTTATGTCGGAAATTGGTTCGTGTCTTTTTCGTGGATAAATACAATCGATTTTTTTTTCTGATATACTATAAATTACCATAAAATAAAAGCTAGGTCAAAAGGACTGAAGAGTGTTTAGAGCTATTAGGTATTCAGAAGTGCAGTATAAAGTCATCTGAGTGGATCGAAAAGTCGCAACAGTCAACTCTAAAATGTATAATGTTATAATAACGAGAAATTATATATAGTATTCCGAATAATTTGAAGATGAAGAAGATAAAGAAGAATTATGAGGCACTATGCGACTACTGAAATCAAAACTGCATGAATTAAGCATCAAAATTGCTTCCGCAGCCACCATATGCTGTCTCCAGATCTGAGTCCCAGCGATATTCGCTTATTCTCTTCTAAGATCTCCAAAGAATACTCGCTGAATAGATATTTAGCTACTATAAAGAGATAATCTTCCCGATTAGGTAGGTAGAGTGGATGTCTGGTGACGCACGTAGGCTTTAAAGATGCCAATTATGAAACCACTAGGACTAAAATCCGCTCACTCTATTATGTACTCTCTGAACCACCCTGCGCTCCTGATGAAGTTCAAAAGTAACCTCCGAGACATCTTCAAAAAACTCTCGACTAATATACAAAGCTTTGCATTCGCTTAGAAGATATCTATAGTATCTTCTTCTTCTACCTCCTGTCAGCTTTCACAACAGTCCCAGTATGCTCGCATGTCTGCCAATTAAACAGTGACCTGCAAGCACTCTTACTAGAATTCTTATGCCATTCATTTTGGATTTTAATAGTCGGCATGTGCGGCCCATTTTCCATTCATGCCACGTTTGTTTGCTTGTTGAGCAAGTTAGGGATTGACTCCGCCGAGACTCAGCTATATCTATAACATTTTTGTCGAATAAATATCTACAAGTAGCCAGAGGGATATATATATTCCATCTTTATCGGTGTCTAATTAAAGGGTGCTGCCTGTTCTGGCTAGTTCATCTGCCTCCCAGTTACTGGGAATATTATTATGTCCTGGAAAGCATTGCAGGTTTATCGTGAAATAGGTTGTTGGATCCTTTAAGAGATCCAGGCATTCTTTAAATATCTATGATGATACCTTAAGAGACTTTAGCGACTTCAAAACCGCCTGTCTATCTGTATATATAAATATATTTTTTTTTGTGTGTGCACTCTTTGTCAGAACACGTAGGATTTCTTTCATTGCTGTGATCTCTATCTGGTAGTCGAAAAGCGATTATGGTATCTAAATTGAAAATTAAAAAGACACTACCTCCCACTCGATTATCCGCCGTCAGATCGTCAAAGTTAAAACCTATGTTTTTTAAAGTAACCTCCAATGACAACTATCATTTTGAATAATTTTCAACCAAAGAGTCATCGAGCAAACTTTTGTCTTTGAATATTGTTCAATTTCCACTTCAGCTAGTTCTACGATACCGGATTTTACCCATATTTTTATCTGGACAAGAACTGTTATATCGGCAATCTAACGCTGTTTGGTACGGTAATTAATAAGTAGCAAGTGGCTCCAATTTTTCTACTACCTAATTTCCGCCACGATATTTAAAGGGCTACAGCCTTGTAAATTTGCATTTTTCTTGTTGAGTTGAATCCGTTTTTTGCACACGCATTGGTGTGAATTGTCGTAAAGTAGCCAGCTAGCTCGTGCCACATTTGAGTTGCACCTTGTTGGATTGCCCAAATTATTTTGCGTCTCTTTTTGCTTTTGAATTGCCAGCAATTTAAAGTGAAATTCACACAAACGGAAAAGTAGTAAATAAAAGTAAATTTACTTTTTTCACGACACAAACACCGAAAAAGAACGGAGCCAAATAATAAGGGGACGTTGAAAAAGTTAGCACACCTATTCGCCGGTAACTGCTGTCCATTATTTTCAAATTGGTTTCTTATGCAAAATAGTCGAAGTATGTCTTTCTAAAGAAATGTGTGTGTGTGTGTGCGTTAGTGGCCTTGTGTTTCTAAGTGAGAGTGGGTATGAGTACGCGTTAGTACCGCCATTCAAGTCAAATTCAAATGAAGTGCCTAAATGCGTTACAGCAATAACAACTAAGGTAAGAATAGCAACAACAACAACAATCATAGCAACAACAACAAAAATCATAACAACAACAAGCAAAAGCACTAACTACATTTTCGACAAAAGGTTTCTAAGCTGTCCTCAAGGAATACGCCGAATTCTATTGCCGGTGGCCATAGGTAAGCTAAGCTTAGACGAATGATTGTAATAATACCGCAATAACGGGCTGTGTATGTGTGCGTGAATATATGTGAGTAAGTAGTGAAAGGCGTATTAAAGCGAGACGAGGTGAGAAGTAATAATACCCGCTACCTTGGACTGAGTGGCAAATAAAGAAGCTGTCTATGTGCTGTGCTTAAGGCACTTTTGGCAAGAATGAAGGACCGGATTTTGCTATTGTCGCATTAAATCTAAATTTATGGTTGCGGTAAAAATGCGTTTTCTTTACATACACCTCTATATATATATATATATATATATATATATGTATATATATACATATATTTGCATATATGTGTATGTGTATGCAAATGAAAGGCAGCCTTGTGACCTTATCGTGCATACAATGCGCTGAGCAATTTATACGCGCATGCAGCGGTGAAGTACGGTGAACTGAGCTGCGCGTAAGTGTTGCCATTCATTTACACATTCGAGAACTTGCAACCTCGCTCGCACATGACCCTACATACATGTGTATGTGCGTATGTAAATCTAGATATGTAAACCGACCTGATATGCGGCCGCTTGCGCGCTGTGGGCACAGTGAGTTTTATTCTTCAATCTACATGCATACTCGCGTATGTGTGCATGTGTGTGCGTGTGTGGATCGCTTCGTATGCCATTCATAACACCTTCCGCCTATTGTGTGCCGAAATTAAATTGCTCTGACCTGTGCTATAAATTTCCGAAATAACTGGCGCGATTTCAGCCGCACATTCACCACCACCAATACAATCAAACCTGTACAAACCGGCACAACACATTGACGTATTCGCTACTCGCACTTCAAATGTTTGGTGTATGTGTGAGAGTTTGCGTGTGTGTGAATTTTTCGTGTCCACTTTTTCTCTGGCTTCATTTACATGTCCGCCGTTGACCTTTGTCAGGCCTTCGCTCACACTCGAACTTCACCTACCATTGGCCACAAAACTGTTTGATATTTGCATGGAATACGACCAGCAAGGTAGAGGAGGGACAATGTGTGAAATGCCGTTGTTGAGCACTCGTTGTGGTTAAAAATTAAAAACATTGGAGATTTACTGCGCTTGAATAAAAAATAGATATATTTTACTCTGTGCGCTTTTTGAGATTTCTATTGATGAAATGGCTATAAGGGCAATCAAGTATAAGTGCAATATTAGTACGACAATGCCACAACCGCAATTTATTACAATTTTATTCGCGTTTGATGTTAGAAGAAAAATGTACGTTTGTTTTATGTGAGTTTGTAATTGATACTCATTCTAATTCGGGTAAAATTGGAAGCTGGTCCGAGTCCTTGCTTATTTTATTGGCAATATTTCAGTTATAAATGTTGGTTCGTTACTTAAAAGGGTAGTTCGAAAGCATGCCTAACCTCAACCGACCACGCTATACCAATCGTTCGGCTCATACAATCCTAAGCTGCCTGAACTCCATAGCTGCCTAATTTATTTAGTACAGTAGCTTACAAACATAAAAAGCCATGGAATATATGTCGTCTGAACCCGGTGAGGGCTGCACCTTTTGCGGAAGTGTTATTCTTACTTTTTTCACTCTTTATGGACAGATCGAATCAGTGGTCCATATTTCTTCAAAAATAAAGCCGTACATAGTGTTATAGTCAATGGGGAATGATGTATAGCCATGATAAATGACTTTTTCGTGACTGAATTGGAGGACGTTGACATGGGTGATCTTTGGTTCCAACATGACAGCGCTACATGGTCAACAGTCAATTTATTGGACGAAACTTTTGGTGAGCGCATTATCTCGCGTCGTGGGTCTGTGGCGTGGCCTCAATTATCGTGCGGTTTAACACCGCTGGAGTATTTTTTGTGGTTTTATGGGAAGTTGCTTGTCTACCCAGATGAGCCCGAGACGATCGATGCCTTGGAAAAGAATGTCCGGTGCTTTATTAGTTCAAAAAGTGTTCGAAAATTGGGCCTCTCGGCTGGAATTTATTCCAACCAGCCGCGGCGGTGACTTTTCCGAATTCCTTTTTAAACCATAATGGCAAACCCTTTTATTTATAATAAACCTAAATTCTTGGACATAACATTAAATTATATGAGTTTTATTTCTTCTGAAAAATCTCATTTCTAAAAAAAATGTCTGCATTAAAATATTACATTACAAATCCGATATGGCTCTGCTGTGCTTGGAGCGGCAACGGGAGCAATTAACGTTCTTCGAACAATTAAAGACTGATCTCTATTCGCAGTTTTAATAGTATTTCTCAAATATATATCCTGGCTTGAGTAATTGTCTTAGTTATTATATTGTTATAGGTATTTCCTCCATATAAACATGTGTAATCGTAGAAAAACCTAAAGCCAGCAATTGAATAATCTACAAACAAACTCGATTGACCGTTGCAGCGTGAGTCATGCAGTCAATCTCACATTCATACTCAATAGCATTTATCTGAATATTGCTTCATAACAGTAAATACTTTTGCGCATTACTGTTTAACATTTCTCACAATTTCCAGCTCAATTCTCGTAAATGAAAACTTTCTCAACTCGTTTGCCGAAATTACGAGCGCCTGGAGAGCAATCGACCGAAATGAAGTTATTGATATTTAACGTCAATCTTACGACGATATTTTGCTTGCTTGCCTTCCTTCCTTCATTCAGCGTTCACCATTATTATTTTGCTGAATATATTTGCAATTTAACTTTTCACAAGCAAGCACTGCAGTGTTATCTTACAAGGATAAGTGCGCTTACAGGGTGTTATGTAAAAGAGTTTGCGCCTGTATATTCACAAACTTACAGTTATTTAAGTAGGAACTATGAATTTCAATAGTTATTATAAATGTGCGAGTGCTGTTTGAAGGCTTAAGTTATTTTAGTTTGAGCAACATTTTTTTTTTGCCGTAGCTGAGTACCCTACATTCAGCAAAAATATCATGGTGGATTTATGAATATGAAATCAAAATTCAATAAAGGCACTGGGAGCTTGTCCAATCGTGGCCTAAAACAAGTGCATGGAAAATACATTGAGCGTTGGCATGTTTGTTTTGGCTCAAATTGAGCCTAGTTTGAAGCCGATAATAAGTTTTAATAGTATTTAAATAGTGCGGGTGAAATTTTATCGGATGGTACTCCCTTGTAGCGTCATTAAGGGTGTGCAAAAATAATATAATCAGCGGTAAATTTCAAAGTAAGCTATTGATCGCTATTTAAATAAAATTACTTATATTATTTTCATAGAGAAAATCTTCATCATTTGTATTTTTCTTCAGTAACCTCAATGACAACTAAAAGTGACCATTAACCTTGTGTCTACGACATGCTATTAAAAGACCCTGTACTCAAAAAATAAATGGCTTGATAATTGTTTTGAGTAATATTTCAATGGGGAAATATTCTAAATTCTTTTATTGTAATAAAGTAGAAAGTCAGACATTTACGTTTTTATTCCAATCCAAGATTCGATTTACTTTATACTTTATTTTAGATACTTTTAGTTGCGCTTATAAGATAATTTTGTAAGCTATAAGAGAATTTCTTATATATACTTGCTTAGTCCAAATACTCGAAATTGCAGCGATTCAAGCGGAATATCGAATTTAAATATGTTATAGTTGTTGATTTAGCTCGATAAGTAAAAAAACCGCTCGATATAAATCGCAAGCAAAACTACAAAATGTATAAAAATACACATACCTTAATGTAATTAAAAATGTAATTTGAGCGGCTATCATAAATACAAAATTGTATGTCTGAATAATTAAATTCTAAATACCATTTAATCACAATTGTGATTTCAGTATGCAAAATCTAAGTTAGAACGGTCGTGAGCACAAAAATCAATTAAAAACCAGTTTTGTATTCAAATTTCCATGACCACCAAACAAATTATAGCATAATGAGCGTATAATATTTTGTTATAAAGCAATGCTCTACTTTTTCGGCTGCTGATGCGTTCGAAATGTCACGAAATTTATAAAAATTTCGCAATTTTATATCTTTGCGCTTTGGTTAGTTGAAAAAGATAACTCAATAAATATTACATAATTAAACACCAAGTGTGTTTTGTTTTTTAAGGTGCACGCAAAAGTTGATTTTACAAACATAAAATGTGAAGCCGTGGATGAGGCCTACAACTCAGTTAAATACTGTTATATTCGGGCAGTAAATCGCACTTACAAATATTTGTCGGTGGCTAATTATTTCCACTCGAATGAGCCGAAAAATAATTTATCAGTAAGTAGTGTGAAACAGGAGATTCGCCATTTATGTTGTTAATATTTTTCCACTTATTTTTTTCCTTAGGTTAATGTTGCTACGCTAAAACGCGCCAATGGTTATAAGCCCTTCCTCTATAATGTCACAGTGGATGTCTGCAAATTTCTTCGCACCGGTGGCAATAACCTGCTGCGTTTCTTATATAGTCTCTTTCACAAATACTCCAATATCAATCACACTTGCCCTTATACCGTACGTTCAATTTGGCACTACGTTTCATAGTTTTTAAATTGACATTTTAATTTTTTGTTTGTTTTAATTCACCAGCATGACATTGACTTAAACATGTTGCCGATAAGTCACATCGATAATTTGATGACTAATGTGCTACCAGTTCCAAAAGGCGATTACCAACTCGTAGCATCATGGTACACCTACAATGTTTTGCGCACTGTGGTTAGGGTTTATGTAACACTGTCTTAGAGGGGAATTTTTTTTAAAGAATTCTTCAATGCTCATGAATGGTATTATACTAAATATGTATACGTATGTACATTAAAGTATTATACACCGGCAAAAAAAAAAATTTGCATACTAATATTCTCCTCATTGAAGTGGTTAATATGATAAAGTGGTAACTGGATAGCAAATTTAGAGTAGAAATATAATTAGTAGTGTTATGTTAGAAATAACTATATAATAGAGCATATATATTTGATTTCAGTTACTAAAGATTTAACTTTTTGTACCACTTGTTTCTAAATATGTTTAAAAAATTACTTATGATCGTATAATAACGTAAATGCAGGGTCCTAGAGTTGTTTTTAGTCTTATTAGTAAGTAATCAGTTTTCGCTTTGATAATTATAAGCACGTCTAGAATCATACTTCTCATTTCTTGGTAATAACTGCAAGGCCAATAATACACTCAGCATATACAGGGCTGCACTTGGTTTTATTAAAAAAGGCATTCTGAAATGTTACAAAGGGAATTAATTTTTCATTTCGCTCTTTCAAAGTCTGTGTATACAAGATTATTGTGTTGTACTCTAACCTACATACCTATATATATGCATGTATTGTGTGCCTTTATAATATAAGCACCCATGAAAATAAGTTCTTAGAGGTTTTTCTAGCCTCATTAGTAAGTAATTTGTGTTCAATTTGATAATGGTAAGCTTGTCTTGAATCCGTAATAAAAGTCAATCACAATTAGTATCGTTAATGGTCTAATTATTGCTGCTCTTCTGCTTAGCTCTACCCGGTGCATGTTCCTTTTATTATCGTAAAAATCAATTAAAGTAACGTTTTCGATTTTTACATATATTTCTATTGTGCTAACTACTGATAAAGTAAATGAGTTTAAAATTATCATGAGAATGTATAAATAAATTATTTTTTTTATGTACACTTTAGAAACATGTGACACGGAATAAAAAAGCATCAATATTCATTGACTAAAAAAAATATGCAAAAAAACAAATTTTTGACGAGAATTCAAACCTGATCAACGTTTCAACCATTCTCTGTGTTCTGGTGAAGAAGATATTGCTGTTCTCATGATGCTTGGAATTTTCGTTGTAGTTACAAACAAGTGCACATTTGTATAGCGTTTGTTAGTCGATCGCGGAAAGTGTACCTCCATATGTATGTAATGAGCTGTAATGCGACATGTGACAAGCGAAAAATGGACGTGAGCATTTGAGGTGATATATAAAAAGTTTCAATTCACAAATAACTAATGAAACTTGGTGCGCGTATTGCTTGATACATTGTGGCGGTTTGGAACCAAAAACTTTTACATATAGCTAAGACGGCAAATAGAATAAACAAATTCAATTAAGCATAGAGTTCACAGTGGATAGGGACATCACTGATTTTGGTTACTGAATCACCTCTTAGTTAATATTATTAACAAAAATCTGATTAAGTAGTAAAAAAATTGTGTTTCTTTTGTTCGTCTGTTAAGCAGCATATGTGAATTGAAGAGCATAGTACTCTCTCGTTGGTGCTTAAAAACTTCTCTTGTCTCTCATCATGCAGATTTTATTATATGGCAAATGTTTTAAAAATGAAAACTTTCGATGAGTAGCTTTAAAAAAATTTGAATACAAAACAACCCGATTTTATTTCGAAAGAAACTGGCCGACTTGGACCCACACCTTTAATATCCTCAAATACTCATACTCAAAGTATGTCTTGTATAATATCATGTCAGTTATAGCAGTAATATTAAAGTATTGTTTTTAATATGCAACTTGAACGATCAAAATTATCTAGTACCACATTTGCAATTATGTATGTCCGTCGGTTGGACAAAAAACTAAAAACAAACAAAACAAAAAAAATAAAAACTCGTTTATTTCACAATCCCAGTGGACCTTTAAAATTATTTTATATTCCGAGAAAGCGCCAACTAAACAAAGTAATTGGCATACTTTCATTTGAATTTCTTTACCACTTTACAGCCATTAAAGCGTCTTCGGCTTTATTGCTTTACGCCAGAGTTGCTTTCTGTTTGCAAATATAATAATATTACATAAATGTGCGCTGAGTTGGCTGCGCGATGATTACAAAGCGCTCACCCTCTGCAGCCAAAAGTTTAAGGCCTCTTTTTGTGGTAATCGTATTTGATTCCAGAGCAAAAAAAAAACAAAAAATGTGCCTCAAATTAACTTGCCGGTGGCAAAAGCAAGTATTTAAAATATTTTTAACAGTTATGTGCTTGTACTCAGGCAAAGTGTATAAAAATTCACAAAGAAAATTAATAAAATCATATTAGCAACCCGAAATTCAAATTAGTTCCTGTGAATACTGAGATATTGCTTTTAATTAGGATTAGGCGAAATCAGTGATTGTTAACAAATGTAAATATATATTGTAGGCTTCAATTTGGTGTAGGCAGTAAAATGTTATGTTTTGCCTTTGAATATATGCACTGAATGTTGTGAAAGCTATAAGGTAGCTTTTTATTAAGCTCTTAAGTATTTCGTTTTCGCTTGGCCAATTATCCATTTGTCGTGTCTAATAGCCTGACAAGCTTGGCGTTGAGTGTAAAAGTTTCTTTGATTCTGCTATTTCTGCTTTGCTTGTTAAAATATTAAGCCAACCATGCTTTTGAGACGCATTTATTTACAAAAAAAACAGCGTGGGTAGTCTTGTAGAAATATTATGTATACTTACCTATCAGCAGTGAATGTTTTACATTGTTTATGCTGAAGCACAACCTTATCTATATAAACATGAATAAGTACATAATAATGGCTAAGGTAATATGATTAATTTAGCAGTCGCAGTCATTTTCCGCCCTCCTTTAACCGTTCTCAAAAAAACAAAGGACTAACTTTTAGCGTTAAAGTCGAATAGAGCAGAATTTGTTACAGTGGTTTGATGCAGTCCAAGTTTTGAGTAAAACTAAATTTTGTTTGGGATATCTGAATACAGTATAAATCGGTCATAGAATTATTATAATATTTATAAAAACAACTTAAGAATAACAGTATAAAAAAATTAGGCAATAACAAGTAAGTAAGAGCTAAGTATGGGTGTAACCGAACATTTATACACTCGTAATTTTCAAAAATCAAAGCCGTGTCAAATTTTAAGGTGTTGACATGGCTTTTTATTGGAAAATTTTGCAAAATAAAATCAATATTCAGCAAATTCGACAAAATTATGAGTTGATCACAATGATATTTGGTATCTATATCTATACTCGTACCTATAGTTTTAGAACCATATAACCACTTAGTGCAATATATCTATAGCTGTCTTCGATATGCCGGGGGTTACTCTCTAGTGAATCGAACAAACTATACCAGATGCTTAAACAAACGGGCAGCACTTGTGGTACAACCTTGTGCTAACATGTCTTCTGACGCAATTTAAAAATTATATTTTAATTTGTTATCTCCTCTCTCTATACCATATAATGAGGTATCCGCATACTCATTTGCATTAAACTCGATAACTTTGTTGTTGCTTTTACATATAATTTTTTTGACAAGAGAAGAGAAGCGAGAAGAGAAAATGCGAATCGAATAATATTATATTAACGGTTGCAGTTTAGACCGATCACATACATAATTACCAAGTGATACAGAAAACACTTGATTTCATTAAAAGGTCGCATATATTGACCTAAATAAAATGTTTAAAATCAACTGCAAAGTCGGAAATGACTATATTACGGATGTGGAGGGTAAGAGGAGGATTCATTCGATTTCGACCGGTACAATTTCATTCAAGTCTGGTTTTGTTAGCTTTACTGATGCTTGATTCATTAATTCATATATATGAAAATAGAATAGAATCTCGAAACAGGTAATAATTGGTCAAGTAGTTCCTGAGGTAAAAAAGGCCTAAAAGTGGGCGGGGACACGTTTATTGACCGATTTTGATACCGATTTAACACATTTTCGCAATTTCTAAGGTGCTGGCGGAAGGAATGATTCGGAACAAGTTAATTTAATATTGTTTGAGAGGTTTGTTAGATATCTAGTTTAAATTTATTAGGGAGTGGGACCACGCTCAGTTATTCAAATCACGCTCATCAATCAAATTCGTCATCCTCAAAATGTATATATGTATAACTGTGTATCCATCTCAATTATATTTGGGTATTACAAACAACCGTTGGGTATACAAAACTATTATACTCTGCAGCAATATGTTGCGAGCCTATCTGGAACTTTCCAGATTTTATAATATAACTTTTCATTTACAGATGAGTGCGTATTTTAAAGCATGGTAAATTTCTAGGTCTGTATAAATAAGAAAAAGTTTAACCTCATTATATTCTTGCCTTAATCTCTAGCATGTTAATATGAAAAAGATCTGGATCTATACATAATTTCAGTAAGAATAAAGTCTGAGCATGCGAATAATCTCGTATGTCTACTCTGGAAAATCTGGCGTCTTAAACAAGTACACTACTTTATTAGAGTTCTTAAATCAATGATATTTGAAAAAGAAGTCAAAATATTATTGTATTTATATTTCCCGCATGGTTATGCTCTAAACAATAAATATATATATAACGGCAAGTAGTTAAAAAGCAAAAAAAAATTCTCTAATATTTTTTCAAGCTCTCAGTTTGCATATTTTGGTTCCTCAAATTTGTCTTTAGCTACAAAAAGCAACACTGTGCGAGGTCTCCAAATTTATGTACGAAACATAAGCTCAAGCGGAGAAGCAAAATATGCATAGACTTCTATGTGCGTAAGAATGGTTTTTCACATTAAATTTTAGCATATTTCGCAAGCAGCCAGTCTGACGGACGTACAGCCAAAAACAAGATAAATTTTTTAGATACAAATAGTTAGCGGAAGTTGTGATATATGTATATGCTATATATGCACATGAACAGATATGGTCGAATAGTTTGTGGCATTTCTTTGACATATACTTTCGTAATAATTTTTGGCTATATAGGTGTATGTACGAGAATGTGTATATTAAATACATATGTAAACATATATGTAT